TAATTTGCTTAACAATCGCTAAACTATTATTTACCCCGCATCTACAATGATTTCACCTGCCGTGACGCGAGCTTTTGTGGAAGTTCGAAAAAATATGTCGCTACCCCGATGCACTTGTTGCATATTTGGTTGCTGCTTTCACATTTCTTCCGTAATTTTCAACATACTCTTACAATATTTTGACTGTGAACTATTTCTTTATTCAGAGAAGCCAAAAATATTCCATAAATTTTTCGAACTCCACGAATAAAGCGAAAATGTGATTGGCCGTTTCATAGATCATAGACAAGAAGTTCGTCAGCTATGTTAAGAGTAAACAAATGAAGGTTCGAAGCAATTAGAAACAGAGAAAAAAATATATAAGGAGGACTTTACAAACCCATTCAGTTGAGAGTAGAGAAACCTTATACTATTGTAACTATCTTTATATCCAAAGCGCTAAAAGATTGTTTTGTGCCTGGACAAATAAATTTCGTGCCAATGTGTATTGCCGGTTGGGTCAGTTGAGCGCTCGCCAAACTTCACAGGCAAATGAACAAAACGCTGCATCCGCGGCGTTGTTGACAGTTCATATGCCCTTAAATAGGGTGTTCTTCAGTTGTAACCAACTATGTTACGAACATTAAGAACTATCTGCAGCTCTACTTCTATGTCGACTTGTTACAATAGCATCTATACTTATGTATTCAGCTTGCTTTGGTACGGATGCAAAAGTGTTTGGTTAGGGTATTTGGAGTTCGATAGGCTTTTTTTCTTACTTTTGATTTGTCATTTCAAGAAGGGAGTGCAATGGGTAACGGGAACGCCAACGGAAACAGTAACAGGCACAGGATCGGGAGCAGCAGTTGCAGTAAGCAAAACGTGACTAGGCCAATGCTAACGGCGTTGACGTTGTTGTCGCCGTCGTCGTCGTCGTCAACGTCAACGTCAACGTGGGCGCGTAGCCTTTTATATGCTCATGACAGAAAATTGAAGTGTGCTACACACAAATAGCATACACATATACACACACACACGCACACTCGCATATTTGTGTTTTGGTGCAATATATACATTTGTAAATACACATATGGGGATGCATGCCCGATTCGATAGCCACGTCACATGTTAATGGCGTTACTAATGTACTGCGAAAAATAAGTAGATATCTATATCTATATCTATATCTATATCTATATCTATATCTATATCTATATCTATAGCGAGATCTAGATCGATAGCGATATCGAGATCGATATCGAGAGCGAGAGCTAGATCGAGATCGATAGCTAGCGATATCTAGAGCTAGAGCTATAGCGATATAGAGAGCGAGAGCGAGATCGATATCGATATCTAGAGCTAGAGAGATCGAGATCGAGAGCTAGAGCGAGATCGAGATCTAGATCGATAGAGAGCGAGATCGAGATAGATAGCGATAGCGAGATCTAGATCTAGATCTAGCGAGATATCTATAGCGAGAGCTAGAGAGATCTATATCTAGATCTATATCGAGATCGATAGCTAGATCTATATCTAGATCTAGATCTATATCTAGATCGATATCTATAGCTATATCTAGATCTAGATCTAGAGCTATATCTAGATCTATATCTATATCTAGATCTATAGCTAGATCGATAGCTAGATCTATATCTAGATCTAGAGCTATACCGAGATCTATATCTAGATCGAGATCTATAGCTATAGCGATATCGATATCTATATCGGATCTATATCTATACTAGAGCTATATCTAGAGCTAGATCTATATCGAGAGCGATTTCTATATCTAGATCGTAGCGATATCGATAGCTATATCTATATCGATAGCGATATCTAGAGCGATAGAGCTAGAGCGAGAGCTAGATCTAGAGCTAGAGCGAGAGGAGAGCTATATCTAGAGCTATATCTATATCTAGATCGAGATCGATATCTAGAGCTAGATCTATATCTAGAGCGAGAGCGATAGCTAGATCGATATCTATATCTATCTATATCTAGATCTATATCTATATCTAGATCTATATCTAGATCTATATCTATAGCTATATCTAGATCTATATCTATATCGATATCTATATCTAGATCTATATCTATATCGATATCTATATCGATAGCTATATCTAGATCTATATCTATATCTAGATCTATATCGATATCTATATCGATATCTATATCTATATCTAGAGCTATATCTATAGCTAGATCTATATCTAGATCTATATCTATATCTATAGATATCTATATCTATATCTATATCTAGATCTATATCTATATCTATAATCTATATCTATATCTATATCTATATCTATATCTATATCTATATCTATATCTATATCTATATCTATATCTATATCTATATATATCTATATCTATATCTGTATCTATATCTATATCTATATCTATATCTATATCTATATCTATATCTATATCTATATCTATATCTATATCTATATCTATATCTATATCTATATCTATATCTATATCTATATCTATATCTATATCTATATCTATATCTATATCTATATCTATATCTATATCTATATCTATATCTATATCTATATGTGTATCTATATTTATAGCTATGTCTATATCCAATTGTATTTATGTATTTATGTCCATGAGTATTTATAGATATATGGCAACATAATTTTTTTCACTGGCGTCATATATTGCAATATCGAACTATATATAGACTAAGCTATACCCAGCACTTAACACGTCATTTCGCTTCATTCTCAATATACCTAGGCACGTACTGACTCAACACAAGAACAGCAGCAATACAAACACACACTCTCACTCATACAAACACACACGCACAGTCGCTTACACACACAAACTGAGCGGCCTGGAACTAAATACATAATAGGGGGTCGGAAGCATGTCATGGTATATTATGCCATTGTTAGCCCCAATGATAGCACCAATGATAGCTTATTAGTTGTAATTCTTGCTCTTTTACTCTGCACTCACTCCTTCTCTCACCCCCTCCCTCGCTCCAGGGTCTGTCTCTTCCCAGAGCCCCTGAAAGTATGCAATACAAACAAATAGTCGAGCGGCGCTTCGCATTGTTTGTTGTCGGAGACATCTCCAAAGAGCAAGAGAAAAATTTCCATGGCAGCTAGGAAAAAATGTCTGCCCCACAATCAAAACCTGGTGCTCCAACAAAGCTTGGAAACATAATATAAAATTAGTTTGCTTTTCTATGCGAAACAAAAGAGCAAGCCAACCTCAATCAGTTAGGAAATTTCTCTTTAACTCCCGGGAATGCAATGAAAACATTGAAGGAAACATATTACGAACTTATGAAAGCTTGTTTAATATGTGATGTTTAATATGCATATTTTTTTCCATTGTCGACCAGATAAAAGAAACAAATGAAATTGTTCTAATTCGTTTTCCAACACTATGCTTTTCTCAGTCAAGTGGATCTTCCTGATTTGTTTCACAATATTCTTTGCGCAGTTAAAAATTCTTTTTCTTGAGATTAAATATTTCTCAATCGTTTTGAAGATATTTTATGAGTTTTTCAGAATCTGTCAAGAAGTTTTTCTCTTGTCAAATTTATCGTCTAAACATTTGTATTTAACACTCTGTTTCGTCTCTAGATATAGTCTCTTCACTCCAAGCTCATGTTCATCTCAAAGTTAACCTCTTGTAGCTCTTAGGGGAATTTCTTCTGAAATGATTTCGTTGGAAATCGTCTATGGATGCCATTTGAGAAATAAAAAAAATTACGAATTGTTGATTTAGCCGAAGTTAATTGAAATTTATGATTAGCAATTTTCATGGCCCATTCACTTGTTTCCCCCAGCTAGTGTATTTACGATCTTTCTTTTATTGGCATACGTATGTCTATGGTATACAACAAGTCAATAAATAATATATGGCCTAATAAACACATGTCGATCATTCCACATGACAGCACGCACGATCTTTGACAGTTCATGGATGGTTGTAGTTCGGCATTCCAGAGTAAATAATAACACTCTATAGAGACTAAAGTTTTTCGACTTAGAAGTCTTTAATATATATAATATGCTGCTCAAATGGCACTTTAAATACACTTACAGGGTATTATAACAGTCGGATAACAGTAAATCTCTACATGTGCATATCAATTAAAGGGCTTATCAGATAAGTATTTGCATTCTGAAAGCTTATGTGCTTACATTTCGTGTACAGGGTATTTACGCAGTCAAACAATGTATTAGGGCACAGTCCCTATAACAATTTAGGATCGAAGCTTAACACTTAACACAGGGTATCAATGCAGTCGCTCAGTTTTCGAACATTTTTGTGATTTACAGTTGAGTTTTTACTTTTTCGATTGCCATTTGTCAGTTCGATAAGTCTTGCACTGTGCACTGTGTAACGGTATGTGCCAGTGAGTACTCGCGTGTGTGGATGTGTGTGCATGCGTGTGTGTGCATGTGTGTCACCGGTAACGGAAATTTGTTTGCAGTTTTATTTTGAAGCTCGCACAACAACAACAACAGCAAAGGCAACAGCAATAAACAAACAGTAAAAATTATATTCCGCTGGCGTTTTGTCTTGTACGCACACACACACACACCCACACACTCACCCACACACACACACATACACACACACGAGCGCTCACAGGCACACACAGAAGCAGAGGCGGGTGAGCTGCCGCTTAGCTGGCGCTTTGGCCGTTAGTTAAACGCCTGCAATTGCACCCAGCACACACACACCCACACACTCACACATACACATCAATACGCACGCACACAAAGGCATCACCGATAAACCGAACACAACGCGACGCAAACGAAGCGAAACGAACGACTCGTTGGACGCTCGTGCCGCTGCCATTGTCGTCGCCGGTGTCGCTGCGTCGCTGCCGGCGTCACTGAGCAGAAGGCCAGAAGGATAAGTTGGCCAGATGCTTGCAAGATTCTGTCATAACGGCTTCGGCACTCGTGGCGCGCGTCTCGCACGCGGCACCAGCAGCAGCAGCAGCACCACCGCCACCGCCACCAACAGCAAAAATACAAAACAAAATTTAAAAAAAAATCACACTAATCAGAGAGGGTTATTACAACATTTTTGGAACATTTAGCGCGCTCGCGTTGAAGTCTTTTTTTTTTTGTTCGTTTATTTTCCTTGTGCTGTTATTTGTGTTTACATGATTTTTTTTGTGTTTTACTGGCGAGAAAAGCGTTTTGAAAAGTGCGCGAGCCAAATGTCCACACGATGTTTCGGCCATAAAAAATCGAAGCAATGTTATGGCTACTATATGTAAAATACCAATCGAGAGATAAACATAGTTCGTCGCTAAAGTACGCCAAGCTAATTGCGAGCAAATATCCGAGTACAAAACCTTCGAAAAACGAGAAATTACAATGGCAGGTAAGTGACTGAGAAACGTCATGAGAAGCTACAAATCTCGAAATATAGAAAAAGTTCAGTTAGAGAATAAAAACTTGAGATCGAAGCCAAGTAGATTCCTTTGATTCCTTTGCCTTATTGCCAAATTCCATCTAAAACTAAATAGTTTTTAATAGGAAAACTATTTCAATTTCCAGTTCGTAATCCTGTTGCAGTGCACGGGTTCTGGGAACCACACTCAATCTTCAGTTAGGCCAAACCTAGAAATATTATGATTCTTCGAATGACAACTAAAACCGTTACACATTGTTATTAGCTCTATGCGTCCAATTTTGACCAAATACCTAGAAATTATTTCAGTAATTTGTGTTTAAGTGAAAAACGTGAAAAAAAAAATTTAATTCAGCTTACTGTGTTGCCAAACTTCACTTAAGCTCAGTTCAAAGCTTTTTTTATAAGCAAATGAATATATCTCACATTATTGCTAAATTTCATAACTTAAACTCAGTTCCACGCGCTATTATTGCACTTCTTTGATTCTAGCATATAAATAATTGTACATTTCTTACATTGTTGCCCAATTTCATTCACTTTCTAGCGCTGTTCCCTTCTTTCAATTTTCAGCAGTTGAACTTCGCTTCTCTTGCTTATCCATATTAAAAAGTAATTGTGTAGCTCTTGCGCTGTTGCCAAACTTGCAGTGTTGCAGTGTTGTTGCCGCACTTCACTTCAATATTCTGGCTTTCGCTCATAAATTCATCACGAAATTGTGCAATTTCCATAATTTTTGAACTCAGTAAATTAGCCGCGCAGTCGGCAATTAAAAATTTGTTCTTTTGGTAGCGTCGTAAACTGAATGAACGGAACTGACTGAACATTTTATAAATCATTTAAATAAGTTTTTTAACATACCCTCTACTCTCTCTCTATTGCTGAAAACCAACTCAATCAACTCTTCTGTTCTTCTCTTTTCTGAAATCTTCTCTCCCTCAACATTACCTTCCGTTTTCTCCTCTTCGCTTATAGTATCTTTCCTTCGCTTGTTTTTTTTTTTTTTAATTTATCTTCTGCTCTCCTCTTTTCTTATCTTCTCGTTTATTGACTTCTCTTCTCTTGTCTTTTCTTCCCATCTCTCGACTTTTCTTCTTTTCTCTTCTCTTTTCTTTTTTTTTTCTTCTGCCTCTGCCTCTTCTCTGCTTCCATCCTTCTGTCTCGTTTCTTCTATTCTGTCCTTCATTTATTTTTTCTTCTCTTGGCTTCTCAGATCTCCCTGCCTTTTATTCTCTTCTTATCTCTTCACTTTTATTAATTTTTTTCATCTTTTTCTTTTTTCTTCTTCTTAGTTTCCTCTTTTGCTTCTCCGATTCCCCTGTCTTGTTTCTTCTTTACTTTGCACTGTCTTATTCTTTCAATTTCACTTCTCTTCTTCTTTCATGTCTTCTTTCCTCTTCTACGCTACTTTATTTGACTTTCACTTTCACTTCTCTTCTTCTTTCATGTCTTCTTTCCTCTTCTACGCTACTTTATTTGACTTTCCTTGTCATCTTCTCAAATTATTTTCTTTCCATTCTATCCCTTACATTATTTTCATCTCTTCTACTTACTTCTCATCTGCTTTCATCTTTTCTCCTCCTCTTCTTTTCTTCCTTTTCTTAATTTCTTCGCTTCTTTTTCTTCTTGCATCTTCTTCTTATTCTCTTCTTCACTTAATTTCTTTTCTTTCCTCTTGCCTTCTCTTCTCCTCTCCTCACTTCTCTTCCGTTTCCTCTTCATCTCTTCACCCTCTCTTTTCTTGCTCTCCTTTTGATTGTCGCCGTCCAATGTGGCGTATGCGCAACATATACAAATATTTATATCTCGTAAATTTTTTGCACGCAATTTCATATATTTTTTAATATGCCGTCTGTGCCCAACAGCATTGCAGCGTCCAGCCCACTGCTCGCTGCCTGCCACGCCCCACGCCCCACGCCTCACGCCTCTAACCCGCTGCTGTTAGCCAACAAATGCAGCTGGGTCAGTTTGCGTAAACATTTAGACGAAAAAGAACATTTTTGCGGCTGCATTTGTTCAATTTCTTTGCGCACCATTTTTTTTGCAGTGTATTCAAAGTTTGCTACGAATATATAGAAGCCTGATCATGTATGCGTATGCGTATATATCTATCTCTCGCTCTTTCGCTCTATCTTTCTCTACTTAAGTAAGAATTCCATTAGTTCTGTCAGGGAAGGAACGGAACTCATAGATCTGCAGCCCGAAGTTCGCTATGCTGGGGCATGTTACGAGATGAGTTTACTATATCAGCATGTATCGATAGCTGTGGCTACTGTCAATTGGGCATCACTCCATGAAATTGTTATTGCTATAGAAACATTGTTTTGCTTTTTAGAAATTACATCCCAATCGAATTAAACAATTAAAAACTTCCGCTGCACCCCCAGGATATCAAATTACAAGCAATGTTAAATCAATTACTAGAGGGACTACCCTTAATATGCCAGGGCATACAGGCTTCGACTTGCGCTCCTATCGCCACACCACACACAAAGTCTGCTCTGCTCTAGCTCATAATATCTATATGCAGAATATATATAAATATATGTAAATAGCTTATATATATATATATATATATATATATATATATATATATGTATATATGTATATTTATATGTATGGTAAATGTTGTTGGGCATTTAGGCCGTTTGCTTTCTAAGTTGCTTGTGGGCAGCGAGGGGCGCGCAGTTGTTGAACTGGACGCAAGACAAACTTCGTGTTGACAAAAGTTTTAGCATGTGCGAAACTGAAGGCACAAAATGCCTTTTGCTGTGCTCTACTCTGCTGTGCGTGTGTGTGTGTGTGCGTCTGTGTGTGTGCAACTCATTAGCATTGCAGCCAAGTGCTGTCCGTGAAGTGTTTTTGTCCTAGCAGCGACTTACAGCGACCGTGTGGAAATTTTTAGTTCGAAGACCTGAGTTGCAAGCTATCAGTATGTGTTGGTGCATGCGTGTGTGTGTGTGCGTGTGTGTGTGCGTGGCCAGTGCAGTGCATGGCACGTGCCTCATTATCGGCGGGCAGCCGCACGACGAGCTTGTAATCAAATTGAGATACTTGCGGTTGCCTTTTTGACCAAACGCACACGCATACAGGTGAGCGCCTGCATGTGTGTGTGTGTGTGTGTGTGGGTGTGTGGGTGTGAGAGTGTGTGTATGACTTGTCTTATTAACACAAGCAATGAGCATGAAATGGGACCAAGCTGATGCGGGTGCGACAGACAGTGAAGTCCTTTTGCGCTGACGAGCAATCCTCTTGCACATGTGTGTGTGGCGACACGCTTTTCACACACATACTTATACACACACACTCACTCGACGCTTTTAAGTGTTTGCCATAAAAAGAATGCCACAACTGCGGTTATCATTGAGCTTCCTTTTCAGTTTTGTTCTTCTTCTTCTGTCAGCAGTGCTCTTTTTCTGTCTATCTCTCTTCCCCGCTCACGCTCCCTCTCTCCCCTCTCTCTCTCTCTCTCTCTGTCTTTCTTTCTCTTTTTGTGTGTTTACAGCATTTTTGGCTTTCTGATATTTGCATATGCTTAAGCATATTGAAGATAGCTTTAAATCTGCTTCCAAAGGGGCTTCAACTGAATTGAGTTAGAGAGTCTGCCCAAAGACTAGGCACGACTTTTGACCAATAACTGTTAAGTATTTTTATCGATTTTATAAGTAGAGTAAGTAAGAGTAGCAAAGATGAGGCGAAATTAAGAAGAAGAAGAGAGAGATAAGAATATGTTCAGAATACATAAAAAATAATACATTACATTAATTTTTTTATTTTTTTTATTATTTTAATTTAATTTATTCAGCACTACTATTTTTATGAACAGCCGATTTTCAATGCATCTAAACTCTTCAAAGCTAATGAATTCTGACCTAAAATAACGTTCGTTTTTCGTAATTATTTTGCTTACATTCTCTTCTAAGCAAAACGTGGGCATCTCTATATAGTCGATCGCAAAAAGTAGCTTTTCATGTGTCTTGTATTTTAATAAGTGCAGAACTACTTTTTTCTGAACACAACTCTATGTAAATCGATGTATAAATGAATATGAATTAAATAATAAAATAATAAAATAAAATATATAATTTAGTATTGTAAGTTTTTATTTATTTACCTATTTAATTTTACTTATAATATATTTTTTTATCAGCTCAGTAAGTGAACGTCTACTAGCAAAATAATTCAACTTTCTCTATGGACCAGATCACGCATCTACCTAGCCAGATTTTTTATTGAATTCTTGAATTTTCAGTTTGCGGCCCACACGATTTATGCGTAGCAAGTCAACAAATCAATGAGATCTCATAGCCTTTCGCCTTTTACCTTCGGCTAGCCTTTTATAAGGTATTGCAGCAGCTGTCTGTCAGCGGCATTCACTTGTCTGTCAACTCGTAAGAGTGAAAATGGGAAATCTCCGAATCTCAGCAAATTAACAGTTATCCATTGGCACTCCAAACAAAAAACAAATAACAAATTTTTACAAATTCAATTTACTGCGGTCCTCTATCAAAATACACGTCGAAATTATTCAAATCTGCATAAGTGAGCCCATCTAGTAAACTGACTGTTTGAGATTGAGTTAAGAATGGATTGAAAGATTGAGTGATTGATAATCAATGCTCTACTCAAAGCTCAAGTTCAAGTTAGAGAGGCTGCTCTACGAATCGAAAGTATAACGTACTTTGGATTGTAAATCTCTGATTATAATATACTTTTCTTTCTCTCTACCTCTCTCTCTCTCTATATCGTATACTTCTATCTCACATACTCCCATTGTCTCTTAATATCTTCCTTCATCCCAGAATTCCTTTCTTTTTGTCTTCCTCTCATATATACATACATACCATTGGCCTCAACTTCTCTCTCTCTCTCTCTTTCTGGTATATTGAAAGGGCTCTCAGTAGTTAAACTATTTTTATTTGTACATAGAAAATCATAAATTTATTTCTTATCAATTTTTAGGAATTTGG